AAAAAAAAAAAAAAAAAAAAAAAAAAGCAAAGAACAGAGTGGTGTTATTATTTCCAGCAAGTCAGCTCTTAGACTTTCCTGGCTAATGGCTAACCAGGCTCCACCGCATTCCGCGTGGTCTCACTTGCTCGGCTGGTCCGCCTCTAAAGCAGTTGGTTTTGCCACGACAAGCTGTCACAACAAGGTTTTTCTTATCTCCACGTAAACCAAACGAGAAAAAAAATAAATAAATAAAATTTGCGAACCTGGAGCCAAAAATAAAACGCTCGGTATCCGTTTTGCTACAACCTCCAACAGTCGGACGGACGGGGAGGGGGAGCAGAGGGCTTCTCCTTTCCATTTGTTTCTAAGCTTCTGTGTCAGCAGGTCATACGCTGGGCTGGAGGTTGGGGGAGTTAACCGTGGCTGCTGATGTGATTGTGTGTCCGGAACAGTTTAACCTGACCGCAGCCGCACATGAAAGCAGCGTGCTATTAGTACCTCCTTACGCCGCATCCTCCTGCATGCGCCGTTCCTCGCCCTCAGTCACTGACCCCTTTTAGAAATGACATGAGAAGGATGTCGGGCCGTCAGATAGCAACACCCGCTACCCTCCCGTTTGAAATACGCACGCACGTGAAGGCTCTCGACACTCCCTTGCTCGGAAATATGTGGTTCATAACGCTAAAAATAAATATAATAATAAAAGAAACACTTCTACAACCTCACAAACACAGTAGGTTCTTTTTCCACATATGAAGTTTCCCTCAAACTGCTTAATTCTTGTTAGGCTCACGCGTGTCATTATTGTGAATTCTGTGTGTTTTTTTTAATGCAGATTTGAAATGTTTTCTCTTTTAGGCTAGGCACCTCAGACTATGTATGTGTTTTTTTTTAATGAAGTTTAAAAGCAGAGCAGATTTGAAAAAGTTTGCCATGTCTGCTGAAAAATCAATTTACAATTTAGAATTGAGCGATTTACTGCAACAATAAATCGCAATAATATACATCGTCGTTTTTGATTGCAGTGCAAGTGAAAAGGACTATTTAGGGCTGCTTGATGTAACGCAAATATGCACAGATGCAAGCTGTAATTTAAACGAGGAATCACATCAGTGGAACAACATTTCAGAGCCCAAATGCTCAGTCAGCAAACTCTTGAGTTTATCTCCGTCTCTTCCCCGTCAGAGGAACCGTTGCAGACTGCGTGTGGTTTCCCCCTGAGTCAGTACCTCCGCGATCAGTCCTGCTTCTGCGGCAGGAACGCCAGGATGTCAGCATGCTTGGTGAGTGCGATGACACAGAGAAATGTGTGCCGTCAGGCACGTCTTTGTTAGCAGAACCCTCAAAGCTGACGGCGAAGAGCGGCGACGAGCCAGGACCGTTTTCATCACCCGCAGATGAAGCTGATACTTTTTTAATTATTATGTTTTGGAGCTGCGGGTGAAGGTCTTTAGTCTATGGGCTGGTGAAAGTGGGGGATACTCGGTTCTTGTGGTCGGGGAGGGGAATGGGCCGTCATCAGCATATTAACTTAGAGGTGGTCATAAGGTTTCAGTTCAGCACTGCTTTGTTTTCCCCCTTGTGTCTAGAGAAAAAAAAGGTTTCCCCCCTACCAGAACACACTTCGTTATAACAATCCTTTTTTTTTTTTTCCTTCTACAAAACAGGCACTGGAGCGAGTCTCACTTGGCCAGGGTGTAAGTAGTAAAGCATTCCCTACTTATCACTCTCAACATGTTAAACTAAAAGTCACCGTCACACAAGAGTGGAAACAACCGTTGCGGATCCATCACCTACGTTTAGCTAAACAAATCCATCAGCTCATTTCAAACCACAAACACGCACAATTAATAACCTCCCAGGCTGCTCTCTATCATTGCCGTAGATCTGCATGCATTTAAACAATCAGTCCATTAATGCTGCTGCTGTTGTTTTAAGTCGCTGATTGACTTTGGTGTATTTATTCAAAACATGGAGCGAAGAGGCTGCGGGCCAACTCCCGACACATGATACCCGCTGCCATTAATATGGAATGTTTATAAATATTAATGCAATCACAGAAAGATTGATTATTACCCGCTGGAGCCGAGGCACGAATCCAAAAAGCAGGCTTGATTGCCTGCTGGTGTTGCATTAAGTTTCGGGGGAAGTGTCAGAAATATTCACCCACCGTTTGGAGCGACGTCACAGTAAACCGCTTTCTCCTTTTGCTTCAGATCCAGATGGAGTCTTTGTTCTACCGTGCAGTGCTTCACGTTATTCTGAGGGACCACTACAGCTCCTACAAAAGGTAACGCAGAGCAATTTAGGACATTTCGTGTGACCGGCGGTCATGGCAACAGTGAAAACTGTGAGCGGGACGCAGAGCAGAGCAGAGCAGGCGTCGAGCTTTCAAAGCGGACCCGAAAGGTTTGCTTTTACTGCGCTGAACCAAAAAGGAAAACGTTTTGTTTCTGGTTTGTTTGAGTTCAAATGAACCGAGACTTGCAAACAAAAGCCACATGTAGTCAGTTACGGAGCGCGCCATGAATTATACCAGACCGTGGAGTTGAAAACAGCCCTGTTGAAACAAAGATTAGCTTGGAAGCGTCGACGGTCGTCTGTTACGTTGTTAAAATTATAAACAGCTACAATGACATAGAAATGCGAGGAATTATGGGCTGTTTAGCTTTGATCTAAATGCTCATCATGTCACTACTTTAAGGTATTAGCCAGATATGATCTCCCTCGTGTTTGCAGTACCACAACAGACTATTATCATTCCAGCCTTCAAAACTTTGAAGAATTTTATCAGTATAAGCAAGTTGAGCTAAAAATAATAGAGCCCAGTACCTCTAAACATTGATTCTACTTCTTCGTCTTGTTAGTAGGTCCAGCACAGTCATTCAATAAGCACATACAGAATTTAGTAAAAAAGAAGTTCAGGTGTTTCGAGCCTCGTGCTCAGTACTTAGAGCTGTGAATGTGTGCAGATATGGCATTTTGCCACTTCCTGTTTGGAAATGTTTGCTTTGGATATATGCATTAAGCCAATTACAGATTATGGATTAGGTCCTAATTTCGACACATATGGTTCAAATTAAACCTAATTATTGGAGCATATTGCAAGGTTTCCAAAAGTAAAAATAAAAGTCGGGTATTTTTATGCCTTTAAAAGGCTCCCATTTTCAGTTTATGTGAAAATGCGGCTTCCCGCCGCAAGATTTCATCCGGGAACAATTGAGGGAAATGCAGCTGACCTCAGTTCAGTCCTTATCAAGTGTTTGTGCTGCAGACAAGATCAAATATTCCTAAAAGACACCGAGCCCTTCCTGCCCTCTGAACCTCAGTTTAACGACAGCCATTAGCACCGAATATCCATTACTCCCCCTCCCACGCTAGACAGAAGCTATTCATCATTGTTAAGCCCTTTGGTAGGGCTTGATTTCCGAAGTGTGATTTAAGGTGAAACTGGCGACACATTTAAGGAGTGACAGGTTGGTTTGTTCGAGCGTGCCAGAACTGAGAAACGGTGTGTTTACTTCCACAGCGAGAAGCGGGTCGGGAATGTTTATTCCAAAGCAAAATCATTTGTGGACTACGTTCGGCGAGCTCTGCACCGATTGGAGCTGGATGACTCAAAGGTCAGACGCACGATTACTAGTCATCTAACAACGCTTAACCCGAAACAAACTCCCGGAAAACAGAGCAAACATCCATTTCACGTTGAGATTTGAGATTTATATCTATGTATTGGAGCCGAGGTGTTATTTCAGCAAGCTGCAACAATGGTTCGTAAGGCTGGCGAGCGAAAAAATCTGGTCGCCCCAGAATAGCAAGACGTATTTTTATCTGTTTCTCACAAGTACTTAAAATCTTAAACAACTTAAAAGCCTCACTCACCATCTTCTCCCAAAACCTTCTTTAAAAAAAAATAATTATTTTAGCTACATGTTCCACACCCTCATTGTTAGACTTCTTCCTCTGCAGCTTTGTGACAGTGACATTCAGAGCTACCATGACACGTACGAAGCACGGATGGACGAGATGCACGCCTTTAACATGGTAAGCAGACGACACCCGAGGTTTCGACAGAGATTCGTATTTAAAAAAAAAAAAAAAAGGGCTGAGAGTTTGGAAATGTGATGCCGTGAAACGTATATAGAGCTCGGACGTGAAAACGTCCAAGAAGCCTCCAAACCGTTCACAGCTCGTATGGCATCCAGGGGGTTTATTTCTGTCGTAAACGCGGTTCCATTTCCACCACAAAAAATTCAGGGAATTCGGTGTAAAGTATTTTAATTCCTGCAAATTGTGAATAAATTATAGATCTGTGGGGAATTACGTGACTAAAATTGAACTGAGGAGGAAAACCAGCCCTGGTTTTGTTTTTCCCCCGAGGCTGCTAATTATGGTGTCAGCCACAATACAAATTTACTTTCCGGACATAAAACACTAACTTTTTTTCCTTTTTTCGGGGTGATTGCACACTAGCAACAGGATGGGAACAAGTCACGGAGCTGTTTTATGTCAAATGTCAGAACAAGACATGAGCTAAAGGGAGTGACTCACAGGAACATTTAAACTGCGTCAAAAAGCTCCCTTCAGTAACCGTAGCTTCACTCCACACGTCTTCCTCTCTGCAGTTGAAGGTGACCCTTGCTCCGTGCATCGAGGGTCTGATTCTGCTGGATCGTCTTTGCTACCTGAAAGAACAGGTAATGGGTAATGTATCTGTCTCTTTTAGGTTACGTAAAACAGCAGTTGTTTCAAATATCTGGCCGCGAGTCTTTTTTTTTATTACAACGGATGAGTTTTGATTTACTCTTATTGGCAGAATTACCAAACAATATAAGAGGCTTTCGCATAAACTAATCAGTTTCATCAGTTTCAGCATGTTGCCCAAGTTTTGAAGCAGTAACCCAAGACTACCAGACTTACACCAACACCAACCCTTCGTTCTCCAGGTCAGACGGTCATGAGGCTTGGGCGTGACTAGTTAAATTAAACTCCATTTTCTATGCACAATGAAGAAATGTAGATACTTACAGTTAACTGTTGAAATAACAAGGGAGAAAGTCCAAATAGTCTTTTTACTCATGAGAAATGAATGATTCCAAAAATGCATTTCATAGCTACTCTGTATGTTTCTCTGGTATTCAAGAAAATTCGTTGCAATCCCTGGAAAAGTCATATAAAAACCCCGACAAATAGTAATAAGACAACCTAAAATGATGATATTACCATTAATTTGAATACATCTAAAGTGGAAAAATATCCTAGGGTTAGATTCCCCCCCTCCCCAATTACTGTAGTAATTTAGACAAAATGAATCTAACTTAAGCATTTAAAATGCCTACTGTTTTTAATCTGATTGCCTAGAGACATTTAATTTGCATTTCATGACTTCCTATTTTTTACTTGACATAAAACGTCCTTCTCTCTTAGCCACTTGAACTGCACAAGTAAGATAAAATAAATGATTTCTGGAAAGTATGTAGCTGTGCATCGATTCCTTCACTGTTATGATGTGACTGCAGTGAAAGATTAATATATCTCAAGGCTTTTGCATTGTGCCAGAAATGTGAAGGGTTCTGCAATTTCAGTTTGGGAGTTTGATTCAGCTTTGATGTTGCACATGAAATCAGCATTAATGTTGCAGAGCCAAGGACACCCAACACTCGTGTAGATCGGTAACAGATCTGCATTGTGAAGTGCTTCATTGGGGATCTTTGGATATAAATAAAAAAGAACAAACAATCCAACAAATTAGATGAAAATAGAGCAACAAACGCAGCTGATTTGATTGCGCAAGCAGTGCTCCAGCTCCGATTTGCTTTCATTACGTTTCAGCTGGACTCATCATTTGTGATTGGCTCTTACAGCCCGTTGATTGGGATTTGAAATACGCCTCCCCAATGATTAAAGCGAGCATGCGGAGATGTCAGCCGAAATCAGGACCGCCGACATTAATATAGGTGTCAGCCAAATTGAACGCAGCCTGCAGTTGCGCAGTCTTCTGCTTCCGCGGCCAAACACAACAAGCTAATCTTTGCTCCGAGTCGTCGTGAGGCGATGCAAAGTCTCCGAAAAGCTTTGAAGTGGTGAATACATGCGGTTAATGTGTCAGATGGACTTCCTCATTAGGGTCATGTAATCAAACTACGTAACATCAACATCGCCGGTCTGGGCTGAAGGCTGTCCCTCGAGGACGAAAACAATGATGACAGAAGAACAGTAATGTAATCCATGTGGTGATGAGTTCGGAATCACGCGAGGCCAAGCTTACACAACCCAACACTGACAGATTGAGGTATTTAGTACATTTTCTGTTGCATTAGTTGTAGACACGACAAACGCAGGCAGTGTTCTTCCACACAAACAGGAGTTCCCTCGAAACCGATTTTTGGAGTGTTCTCTAAGATAAAAGACCACACAGAACAGAAATTTTACTTGATTTTCCTTTACAAAAATAAATAAAATCTGCAATTTTCTACAAACCACGAATGGGGCACAACGAGCAAGCGGACGAAGGTGTTCTGTTGAAAAGAGACCAATTTTTATTTATTTTTTTTTTGGCAAATCTCAGAGTGTGTTGGAAAACTAACACTGAACCACCCTGAACACCCAGCACCAACGGTCTGCGTCTCCGGTCCTCGAGAGCCGATGTCCTGGAACGTTTGGATGCGTTCCTGCTCTTACACTTGAATCAAAAGACCGAATTACCTCTTTGGCAAGTTTATCAAAGTCCTGGTCAAGAACCATCCGTTCGACGCTTCATGACCAGGACTCATGGTTTATACTTTAGCCAGGCATTGTTTGAAATGTGTGTTTCTCGTGTCCTGTAGGAGGATGTGTCCTTCTCTGCATTGGTTCAGCTGTTCGACCCCCTGCTGTCTCCAAGATGCTACGCCGTCGTCGGACTTAAAAGTCATTCTACGAAGCTAAGAAGCTGAGACACTTATACACAAGCACCTGGAGATGATACACTTGGATTGTATTTACATATGACTGTCGGCATATTTGTCTTGAAAACGACTATTGAAGTGCATTATGACCTCAACTTTAATTAGATGCTTTGATTTTCTGATGGGCCACATAAATGAAACATTTGCAGTTCTCCATTACTTGGAAATACTCAGAAAACTTGGAAGATCTGTGAGGCCTGTGTGATTCGAATGATGCATTTTGCAGCCTTTTGTCACTGGACTCTTAAGAAAACTTGTTTTTAAGGACCCTTCAGGGAATTGGGGGTATTTTGGGATTTGAGTGAACTTTGGGCACATCTGGAAAACGCATTTCTAGTTAAGGTTGAGAAATAAGTTGAGCGAGGCAGAATGCGACTGGTACATCTTTGAGCCATTGGAATCATTTTGTTGAGATTGTATGTGGTATGCCAACTCATATTAGCACACCATAGTGAAGTAAAAGGAAAATATTTCATGTTTTTTTTATACTAATAAAAATTATGAAAATGTAATAATTTAGATGTTGTATTTCATACTAGACTCCACTTGTGTGTAGCTTAATTTCGACATAAATGCAGCTGTGCTGTGGAGGACTCAGATGTTTGCCGAGGGAACAAAGCAAACGTGTGAAAGAAGGACCTTCAATCAGATGAGACCAAAATGATATTCTCTCAACAAAATATTGTGGCGGCAGCATTATGCTTCGGGGATTCTTTTCTGCTAAGGGAAAATTGAAGCAGATCAAATCTGATTGGGAGACGTATAGAGAAAACTAAAGGGTGGTTGTGAAAAGAAACCTTCGCGGAGGATAAAGGCTCGAATGGAACGGCTTAGATCGAAGCATATTCGTGTGTTTTAAAAGTCTAGTCAAACCCTGAGACTAAATCTAATTAATATTTTCCATAGACCTGAAAGTGTATGCTTCTATATGCTCTTCACTTAATCTGAATCAAATAAATTTTTTTTTATCCAGAAAGCATTAATTCTTACAAAAATAAGAAAAAGTGGAGATCCTGAACTAATGAAGCCTGAAACTGTTCGATCTGCTAGATTCAGATTGATATTAACCATTTCCTCCTTTCGCACACCTCGGTCTGTCACTGCAGCTACAGCAGCCGGCACATCTGCAGCCCATTCACAGGGTTCTACGCCCCACAGCCTTTTTCAAAAAATTTTTTATTTTTATCCCAGTTAAGACGGATCGAGGAGCTCTGGGATGTGTCCGGGCCGAGTTCGGGAGCTCCGACAGCCTGCCGCAGCGGACAGACTAGAATGAAAGCAAGTCACAGATGTGAACGTGGCTTGTGTTTTTTTATTTTGGGAGAGGGGTCGGGGGGGAGTCCAACACCGCTTGGGGTTTTGTTTTCGCTGACTGAGTCACATCCTGTCAAATCTGCCTTGATGGTCACACGCATGTTCGTGCAACACTCATCCAGCCCCTTTCAAATGTCCACGCAGAGGGAAAAAAGAAAAAACGCTGCACACCAATCTGCTGCCAGTGTACAATGGGGCGGGTAGGTAAACTCCAATTTCCTGGCATCGCACTTAGCAGATGGCAGGAAAAGGCTCTCAGGATGTGGTGAACGCTGTGAGACACAAATAGTCCGAATGAAGAAGGCCGTACCAACCTACAAGGACTTTTCCCTGCCAGGTAGGAATTGGAGGAAGCGGAAGGGAAGCGAGGGGAGTCCGTCTTACGTATTGGCTTTTGGCTTTGATGAGACTTTCTCACAGAGCTGCTTGAATCCAGGCCTCTGTAATCCTCTCTGATTTGCAAATTCATCTCCAGAAATCCCTAAAGCCCAGGGGCTTCGTACGTAAAGCTTTATCTGATTTTGTTAGAGTCTAATTAGAGTTTGGAATTGGAAGGGAAAATAATGGGATTTATCATCTCAACACTGCCAAAAAAAAAATCAAGGTGGAAAAAGTTGTAGAAGAAGGATACAGGATGCTTTGTATGAATATTTGAAGAGCCATCTCCATTTGAAATATATCTCCTCTCAACCCAGATTCCTTCCAGGAAGTGTGTTCGTCATGTCCTCTTTTATGTGTGACTTTTTTCTTCTTTTTTTAGGGAGAAGTGTGGTAGCAGGCTCCCATCAGAAAGAACGGGGCACCATCTGCCTGTTCTTTCACTGGCACATTGTCTTCGCTGCTTGTTCAAATGTCTGCAGTCCCAATCAGCTTGTTGCAGATTTAAATAACCATTATCTGTCATTTTTATCTAACAGATTACTCTAAATGTTTGGGGTGGGGGAATAGGGGGGGGGTTCCCAATCTTTCCACAATTTTGATTTGCCATACCACACATGCCAGTGTCATTTATTTGGGGATTTATGTCATGAACAAAAACAAAGTGGATTAAACTTCCATTTTTTTTTCACCAAAATATTGGCCCAAACCATTTCATAGTACCTCTGGCTGCATTTTGAACCTCCTCTTCCAGAACTGTTCGCCTCGTATTTAACTACATCCAACTTTTCATCAGTTCTAAGCTTCCCTGGTCCTGCGCAAACTTTTAAATGAAATTACTTCTCGCCACATCTCTATAAACACCAGCTCTGTGGAGTGCAAGATTAATAGTTGTTGTGTTTCAGCTACTTTACTGATCGATACTCCCCCTTGTTCAGCCAGCAGAACGGACATCTGCTCAGGTTGAATACAAAACGCATCCTTGCAAGTTTTTTTTCCTTTTCCGTCTGTTTTTCCTGTCCTGAAGAAATAAGTCATGTTAGATCGATCTAAAACGTCTTGTGATAGAAAACGGGCACTTCAAAGGCAAATGTGACTGGAAAGCAAATTCGAGTAACGTATTTGAAACTCGCCTTGTGAGTTCATCTGTTAAAAAAAAAAAAAAAAAGTGTAAAATGAAGGCTGAAACATCAACTGTTGAAACTGAGATCAGTTCATCGGAATACAAAGCACTAAAGAAAATGCAATTATACTTAAAAATGTATAAAAATTTAGCTTTTCTCCTAAGCTTTCTTCATAAGGATTGGCATCACATTTGTTTCCCCACTCTAATAATAATTAAAAAAAAAAACTTTCAAAGCCTGTTTGCGACATTTTTCTTTGCTTTCATGAACAAAACAAAGGACCCCTTCTCAAAAACACCACGGCTTTCAACAGTAGCCCATGTTAATTAGCCTCGTCCTCCAAAGTTAGCTCCTAACCCAAACATTCATCATGTTTCGGGACGAAGTTTACTTTCTTTGTCTTCCTGGGCAGAGTTGGGAAGTGGCGGCCGCGCTGGGGTGGATTTTTATTCGGAAGCAGATTGCAAGCGGCTGCTGCTCTGCTACTGATATTAATGGCATCTATTTTTGTGAGACCAGAGCAGAGCGAAGCCCCGTCCCTCCAACCCCAATCGTCCGTTTCCTGTGTGATGTTTATCTACTGGGGTGGAGATGCCGCCGTTCCGGAGCGAAAATCGTCGTGGAAACAACCGCTGCTCGCTCTGGACGACTCATGTTGTGAAGATGGTCACTAATGAGAGCAGCAGAAGGGTCAGACGTGTGGTAAAGAACATACAGATAGAAGAAATCTGAGCTTTAATTTAAGTTTGCCGTAGAATCTGCATTCATTCAGATCTGTTTGTGGTGTTCATTTGTTGATAAGGTATTATTTCTGATAGGCTATTTGGGTTTTATGTATTTTCCCTCAGTTTAACATATGGTCCAGATTTTGAGACTTAGAAGTTTTGGCCATTCTTACACCTCGGTAGCTGCTGGTCTTACATTTGTAATAATGTCACAAAGTGCTTAAAATGTTAGATTTTCCATTTTCCTTAGTCACTTTTATGCAACACGTGTATGATTTCTACACAGAATGACACTGATAATGTAAGGCATATTCTTTTGGGGATTCTTTTTTGTTGATAGTTTGCAATCTGCTTGCATTTTCTATGTCACTTTCCATGAAACATGGAAATTTTCCATTGAGGTAAATAATTTAAAGCTAAAGACAAAATTTTAATTGTTCTTCAATTTAAAAATCTAAATAAATGTAATATTAGCTAGTATATAAACAAGCTACCTGGTTTCGGGAAGCCATGTTGCTTTCTCGCCTTGAATACATTTTTTTTGCAGTTGGATCAACGGCAGAAATTGCTCTCCATGGGAAAAAGGTCGTAAATCTAAGTACAAAACATTAAAGATTTTGGTGGTCACATGACAAAAAGTAACACTAAAAATGTATAAATAATTTTCAAAGAACTGCATCCAAAATGGCTGTTTAAGAAAACTAAGGCTCTCATTGTGCTTTAAGTCTAATTTAACACTTGATCCTTTCTTTGTCGTTTACTAAACTTTATTTTGTGGATGAATTGATCAGGTTGCCTACATTATCTTGCGCGTTGTTTTTTTATTTTTTTTATTTTTTATGCCATATAACAAATTTCCCTCAGAGCGACAATAAAAGTCAGAACTGAAATAAACTGGTCTGTCTCTGTTCTGAATCATGGTTTGATTGTTTTGGCTGTTTGGGTTTTTTGCCTGACTGGCCAGTTCTGTAATCTGTCCAGGACCATGAGAGGTGATGATAAGCAGACTCTTTCATCTTTGACATTATTTCAAGCATTAAAGCTCAACAGGACAGCTGTTAATAGGTAAAACATGTAAAACATGTACATTCATGTCAAAGATGTCACACGCAGACATAAGAAAAGAGATTGGACTCAAGTCAAATATGCAACAGGGTTTCTTCATGAGCAGAACAATATATGGTTCGAATAAGGACAGACACTTCCTAAAACCACATAGATTAAACAAAAATATATTCTCAGTCTGTTTTGGTTTTTTCAGAAATTAGTTGGTAGATCACACTGGTGTCACAATGACATAATGTAATGCTGCCTGGTTAGGAAAGAGGCATTTTACAAAAATAAATGCATCAGTATATTGATTTCTTCAGTAATCTTTTCATCACTTATGCAGTTTGCTGCTACGTGGAAGACTAAAATAACTAAACGTAAACATGTTTGCTCATCTTTTAGGTAACTTGTCTAGAAACATAAATGTAACCCATGAGGTCTTATTACCTCAGAACACAGATACATTCAAATAAAGTCGCCCACACATCTAAGTCTGGTCCAAAAGCACTGCGACCGTTTCTCCTGAGAAACCCAACAGACCCCACGAGGTCGAGGTCACGCTGTATTCTGAATCGGGTCACTCTTACAAACGACTCTAACCTCCCCTTCGTGATGCTCCGTCACCGTCTCGGTAAATTCTGAGCCGACACCTGTATGCGCCACACAGCCGTCATCAACCATCTGTTTCTGTTTCTCCAAAGCTCTGCGGTGCATTTACGCCCGCCGCAGCTCCAACTGTGGGACAGTTTTCCGGCCGGCTGGTAGCCAGCGGGACCAGGTTGCGCGTTTCCAAGCCGATGCCCACATACATGCAAGCCATAGGCTGAAAGGCGATGGTTCATTCATCATGCTCAGAACCCCCTCTGTTTAGCCTCTGCACAGAGACGACGGGGTAGGTAGAGGGAAAATTAATCAATATTTTTAATTCGTTATACGAATGCGATAATGTGAAGCGAGGTCTTCTCTGGCTCCTCAGCATTTGATTTAAATTGATTATGAAGCAGGAAAGTGCCCACGGCTTTTTGCTAGTCAATGTAAAGTAACTATACGGATTCATGGAAGTCTATATATTCACCGGGAATAATTCTAGTCGGTTGAGGTAGAATATGAACCACTAAGTCAGTGGTCCCCAACCTTTTTATTACTGCGACCGGTCAAGACTTGGAAATTTTGTTGCGGCCTGTGGGTGGGGGTAGGGTGAAGAATGGGGGTGGATGAAGTCAGATCAGGCTTCTGCATGTTGGTGTTCCCAATAAATACTGAATATGCCCTATTTAGGTTGTCTTGGCCTTTTAATGGCACCCTGTAGGGTTTTCCCTGGCTGGGAACGAGAATACAACCTGCTGAATGTGACAGGTAGCCAATCAGAAAGCGTGGTGACGTAAGAATAGAGGGGAATCCCAAACAGCTCACATATCGCGCAACTGTGAGTCTGGTGGATATCGGAGATGATATGTGGAAATGTTTATTATTTTATGTAAAGGTCGTTATTATATGTTTATGTTCATTCAGTTAAAAATGTTAACTATGAAAAAACATAGTCGCCTCCAAATCATAGTGCAGCAAATAGAGCGGCTGCTCCCGCTGTCTTTTATCCACCGCCTTTTCTTTTTGTTTCTTTCATCTCTTAAAATGACTCCACAAACTGCCACTATTGAACTACATCGTCATCCGTGTTTGGTTATTCTAAATTCCCGTATGCTATGTTGGGGGTTTTGTGGATTTTCTTCTGGAATCGCTATGTTTGTGACTGGAATCGGTTCGTGTGGTTTGTTGCTCCTGCCGTGAGACACGAACCGATCGAACCTGTTGTACTTTTATCAGCTCTGTGGTCACAGAGGTTTGGAGAATCGGCCGACAATTCTTAAATCTTGACTTAAGACTCACAAGCTCTACTCATCTCCTCTCGACCACTGCCCAAACGGTCTGGTCGCTATGGTAACGTTTACATATCCCTTCAAAATAAGATACAGATGCGACACAAAAACGAACATTTTACTTTCGTGAAAATTTTAACTCCCGATAATGACTAACGGGAGCCCTGAGCTTGTTTCTCTGCAACGAGACGGTTCCATCTGAAAGTGATGAGAGACAACGACACCCGAAGTGTTGCTTATATCCACAGCCTGCTTGGTCTCAACATGGCGAAGCAGCTTTAAGCTTCATTCCCTCATTAGCAGCCGGTCGCCGCATATTACGCAGAGTGGCTTGTAATGTTTGACTCACCCACCGGGTCGGGATAAATCCATCCTCCCGTCTCCTCTCTGGGCCTTTTCCCCTTTGCAAAGAAACTTTCCAAAGACACCTGATCTGTTTCTAACTCATTTTGCTGCTTGTGGGCTCAATGTTGACACCCAAGTAACCAAGACTTCCAATGATTCACTTCCTGCTAAAGAGCCCCCTGGTGGTTGAAGAAAAACCCACATATAAACAGCTTGTAATCCGGAAAATACGGTAAATGGGAAAAAAATCTGAATCCTCTGGTATTGTTCAGGGGACCGGACCAAATGTGGAGGCGGGCCGGATCCGGCCCGCGGGCCGTAGTTTGGGGACCACTGCACTAAAGCTACAGATGGACCATTAACAGAGACTCGAAGAAAGGCAGAAAATATTACTGATCTACAGAATACAGCCGAAAATGTACGAAGCAAGATATTTGGGACAATAACAAGAATATGGCATTCCTAAATCTTGGTCTAAACAAGCAAGAAAATAATCAAAAGATGTGACAGGTACTTGGAGATCTAGTTCTACAAAGTGTGACCATCCATAGCGGTCTGCCACGTAAAATTGATATAAAAAACACTGGAGTTGGAGGCTGCAGTGTAACATTGTGAAATGCTTCAATGGATGTAATGTTTTTGTAAGGAAACTGTATGAAATAGCTTATTTTCAAATATGTTCGCAATACATCACAGACTACCTATTAATGTGGCATGGATTTTCTAACATTAAATGCTCAGCTTTAATTGTTGAAATTGGAAATAATTCAACAACATTTTAAGTGAATGAGATATGATTTTTAAACCTGTTCCCTAACCCCTCCTCTCTCAACATTTGCCCCACAGCCGCCTCCTGCTCCTTTTGTGTACGGTGTCGTACCGTAATACGGTACTTCCAAGAACAATCTCAGTGCGCATGCTCAGTCTTAGCTGAAAAACCACATGCGTCTTCCTTCTCCAGCCTCTGCTCCAGCACCAGAGCAGCGAGAGAGAGAGAGAGAGAGAGAGAGAGAGATGCGCTCATTGACGACACGGCAGCAACGAAATGCGCACAGCTCCGCTCCCGGTCCGGGGATAGCAGAGCTCTGACCCCTGCTCTCTTACCGCGATGGGTTAGAGGGGACATGGCAAACTTTGACACACTTTGCTTGACACAGGGGAATCATGCCCGGAGATCCGTGCTGCGGAGCGGCTCAGCTCAGAGCACAATAACAGAGAAGTGAGAGAGAAGGAGAGAGAGACACAGAGAGAGAGAGAGAGCCGATTCTATTTTCTGACTGCTTCTATTCCGTTTTTGACTTTGAGAGATGATCACGGAGCTGGTGTGCACCGCCGTGGCTGTGGGTCTCTATCTGAACACGCTGGACGCAGATTTCTGCTACGATGACAGGTAGGGTTCGCCCACGGAGCGCAGCAGCATCATCGCCCGCTCCTTCTTCTTCTTCTTCTTCTTTTTTCTCTCCTGTCAGTCGCTCTGCGTTTGGAGGGGACGACTGGTTTGCCCTCACCTTTGCTGCTCACATGTCTTTCTGTAAATATGTATAAATCATAGATTTTTGTTGTTGTTGTTGTTGTTGAGTTTAAAGAGAATGGCTGATTTTTCTGTGGTTTACTGAAAGAGGGGAAAAAAAACTAACTGGAATGTGTTATATTGCATTTTAAGATAATATAGGATTTTTCTTTGTTTAGAGGCAAAACTGAAATCCATTTGTTATGTTATATAAACGTATTTGTTACATATAACAAATACGTTTTAACACGTTATGGTTATGGAAGCCCACAGTAACATTTTTGCTGCAAAAAGTTGTGATCTGCATGCAGCCTGCTGCACAACCAGTGATGCTCTTTGTGTTGAAGCTGCTCAAACATGCCTGCTTCAACAATGCCCTGCACTCTGGGGAATAAAGCTCATTTAAATCAGAGTAGGTAGTTTTGCACACAGCTGCAAGAAAGATGTCCACATTTTTATTTATTTATTTTTTTTCCTTTTTTTTCCGTGGAGGTCCAATCAGAATAAAAAGTTGCTAACATGATGAGCAGGGCCCTCTGCTATACTAATCATCCAGTTTAAGTAGATTTTTCTCCAAGGCAAAGCAGAATTTGACAGCTCAAATATAAAGGCGTGTCTGAAAATGTGTCAAGGTTAAAGAGGTTCTGCTTACTGCCCTAAAATTTAAGCAAGCTAAGAAGTCAGCGTAATTCATTGCTGATCTCTTCTATTAATGGGTGTTCTCTTATTTAAATAATTATCATAAGCATGTCATATCACCTGGAAATACTGATGTCAGGCCTAACAATACTGAGCGGTAAATTGACCAACGCTGATCATCTCTGCCATGGCACCTGTTAGTCCGTGGGCTGCGTTGGTTTCCAGGAACTCTCCGGAACAAAGGGTGAAGTAGAAAGTGAATATTTCATCGTCCAATTCGCTACATTATAAGCATGCTGCATGGCTAAACACCAGTCAGGGTGGCTCATTCAGCTCATGATGTTATGCATAACTGCAGTATCGTCTTATGCATGTGATTGCAAAGTCTTTTACAGTAAAACAGAAGAAAAATCTGAAAAGAGTTACAGAAGACGTCATGGATAAGTCGTACAAGCTTTGTAGCACAGATTACCAAAGTTGGGGTGGTAAGGAATCATCGAGTCTGACATCTTGAGATGCTCTTGAGGAATCAAGTAATTAACAAAAATTGCCCCGATGAAAAGATATTTATGGTCTTTTGGTGAAAAACTAACAAAAAAAAATAATGATTAGTGTTTTCAGTCTCCTTCAGTGCTGTCCTGTGGTTGGGAAGCTATCAGTCTTTCACAATATCCCTTTCAAAGAACCATTTGGGAAGGTTTTTTCTATGCTTACCTGGAAGGTGGATTACTCTTCTGATCATACTTGTCCTTCCATTATAAAATGTGAAATTACTAATATCCAAGCTATAATGTCTTTTGATGTACGAGCAGTGAAAATGTTGCCCCTTTTTACCCCCGTATTCTTGTGCTCTTCAGTCACAGGAAGCTCTCTGGCCAGCGTCTCGAGACACCCTTTAAAGGTCAAACTGCTCCACACTCTGCTGAGGAAAACTGTCTGTGACCCCACTGTAAGTTTGTGGAGTCTGAAGAGGAAGAAAGAGGGATGATGGTATAGTCGAGGATTCCGTATGCTGTCTTTAGTTACTTCACACCTCATCATTAATTCCAGTAAAAACGCCCAAAGGTTATTCATCCATCAGCATCGTCCACCCAACTCCGAGCCTGTCAGAGACGCAGTTGGTGACAGATTACCTGGGGCGTCCCTCCGCCCACTTTAGACTACACTCTCGTTATACCCTCTCAGGGAAAGTTCAGAATCCGCCAACACTGAGTATCTATCAAAGTCAGCATTGTAATTTGCACTCTGGGGGACAGACATGGGTGTTTTGGTTCAGCACTCTCAGACGGAGGAGGCTGAATACCAATCAGAGGTCTGACCTTCCGTGGTCGTTCATCAAGCGTCGTCCTCTCGTGGGGTCAAGACTTCTGTGCTCCCCGTCTCTTCCCTCGGGAACCTTAGGAGAGTTATGAGCAAAAGGTTAAGGCGAGAGACAGATTGAAATGGAAGAGAGTCCAACTAATCATCCTGTTCAAGAGCCCTCCAAACTGACTTACTTGATTGTAGATATCCTTTTTTTATTCCCCACATCAGTCCCTTGCAGGAAGCTCATATGATCTTATCTGCACTTTAACTGATATAGTCAAATCCTTTTTACAAGGCACATCCCTCTGGACAAGATGGTGAAGGAGATAAGTCTTTATCCAGGCGGTCGGAGCTGCGGGAATGTTCTGGCTGGTTTCTGCTTATTCAATCATGTCAAGTGTTTTTCCTTGGCATTGCGGTGGGCTTGGCCAAGAGCTGCCTTGGCCAGCCATAATCCCAATGAAAAGCCTTTGCGTGTGAAATGACTAAGTTTTACTGAAGCTAAGGGAGGACTCGAGCCAGGCTGTTTTTGATCTGTGGGAAGAAATGAAGACATGGTCTGCTGGTTTACTGATAGGCTTTTCTTGAGTTCAGCCCAAGGAACAGGCAGCTGCGTTTTGCTCATTGTTGACTTGAAGGTTGTGGTTTATTTAAAAGAGTATTTGATCTGTGATGTTAAAATCTTCACAATATACGGAAAATCAGCGATATTTAAGACACACAACACTACTGCTTTTATGAAATGCACATTTCGACTAATAAATGCATGGCTCTGCTTAGAAAACCAAAGCATTACTAACAGGACTCAACATAAACGAAAAGAAAGAGAAAGGAAGAAAGAAAAGAAAGAAAAGTTAGCGCTGTAAAATTAAATGGATCCTGTAAATGGCTCTCTGCATTCAAAGCCGTGTCTCGAGAAACATCTGTGACCTCGGCAACATCAGAGTCCACAGGCGCTGCCTGCCTCAGACATACATTACGGCTCCCCAGGGGGGTCAATAAACGTATCTTAAATCTCGGTCTCAGAGGAGCAAAACTGTTTTAACTCTCGGATCAAAGAAGCTTGATTAAATTAAATATGCCACACACAAACGACACAGCACTCAGAGATGAGCGACTTTATACAAGTGCCCAAATCAAGATGGAGATTGAACACAGATTGCGGGTTCCAGCCATCTGCTCTTTCTCCAATTTGGCGTTTGAGGTCAATCAAGATGTAATCAAAAAAAAAAAAAAAGAGAGACCTTTCACTGCAATTCAAACCATAGTTTATCGACTTGGCACACTAATGGGTTGTGTTTGTGTCTTAATTGTGCAAACACTGCTTAGACCTCTGGAAGATTTACACATTTCAACATCATTGCTGTGCGTTCTACCAAAGAACACAGGCGAATATCCAAGAAAAGCCTGCTTCTCTTGCCTCCCTCTTTTGTCCTTAGTGCAACCTTCATTTCACCTCTCGGATAAGTCTATGCTGAATATATGGCTATATGCTCAGTAACGAGATGTTCATAAGTTTGTTTTTGTTCCAAGCCCCAAGTCATGTCTCTAATAAGTCTCTAATAAGTCTCTAAAAGGAACGTTTCTTTTATGGGTTGCATGCCATCAAGCCTACTTATTACGCCTCATTGCTATTGGTTATAAATTATGGGTCACAGGATTCCAAAACACTTTTCCTGACAAAATTCCATAGTTTTCTAAAGAGGAAAATTTCAGAGTTCTCGATCCTTTTTAATGACTTAAAATATATTTTCAAAAGTTCATCGTGAACTCAGGGCTCGAGCGTCCGCAGTGGTCAGGTTTGAAAATGAAACCAAAACACGTAGATTCATGAGACCAAAGGGTCCAAATAGAAACGACCGATTAATCTACGGACGGAGGGATGATGCAACATTTAGACAGTGGGTAACGAAAGCTCTCCGTTTCAACATCAGCTGTCTGCTTTTGGCCTGGTTGGGAGCACTTGTTGAATAACGTATGTTTACTGGCTGCAAAACCAGTAAACAGAAATTTTTGTAAGTACCGTGGCACTATGCAAGGCTCATTGAGCGAGTCATCACAGAGTACGTCCATTGCCACATCTGTTCTCAATGCCCCTTATGTCTTTTTTAAGGTTTATTCTTGATTTATCTATACTTACTAGACTGGAGTGGATTTCTTTAATTGCATATATCCATGCAAGTTGTTAGTTTGTCTTGGAAAGTCCCACTGAGATGACATTTCTTTCAAATTGTTGACAAATAAATAAATTGAATTCCATATATATAATGACTGTTAATGGCTCCTTAACTGGCCAGAATCTTACAATAAGATACAGCTTGATTAATACTATTAAAACACTCGATGCTAGTATTGCCGATACTCTAACAAAACCTCAGATGTCACCTTAGAAACGCACCCCGGACAATAATAGGCAGCCACTCACTGTGATCAGCTTCAGCCTTACCTATGAAGGCTGCCTGGAATCCCATTGCCTCCAGTGGAACAATCATCTAAACCCCCAGTTGCGCTGAGGCTATTTGAGTGCACTATTTGTTAGGAGCAGATAAATATTGAGAGATAAAGTAAGTTAATAAAAAGGGTGAGCTCAATTGCTTTGACAGAATTATGCATGTTGTAAAATTAAGGTGAGACAGCATGTCAAGAGGATTTTTCTCCCTTACCTCTTTAAGATCGCCCGACGAGAAAACTTGAGTGAACTGTGCGGGGCGGAACGCCGATGAGAAAGCTATTTATGAATTACAATTTAAGGATGTTTTTTTTTTGTTGTTGTTGTTTTTTTTGAGCATGAGTCTTAAGCAGATTTACATACACAAAGGATTGCGTGTCCACACAAAGAAAGAGGCAGACCTCATAAAAAAGCGTGGCACGGGAGTAGTAAAAGGTTTTCTGGTGGAGAGTCACCATCTTTTGTGCCGTTTTCGTTGTATTTAAAC